ACTCTTCAATTAGAGGCTTTTAAAAGAATGTAACTCTATATTACTGGTGCGAATTCCGAAATAAGAGCATGATATAGTTCGGCAAAGAACAGGAAAAAAAGGAATCGCAAAGAATGCCACACAAAAAATGGCTGACAGCTTCCTCCGGCGGCTTCTCGTGTGAAGGGAAATGCAGCCGTAGGGGGCCTAACCTTAGATTTAGGTGTAATCGGTTTGCCTGCAGGAGAAATATCTTCAAAAGACTAAATTTAGCAGGTGTAAAAGCTGATTCTCGGACCTATGCAGTGAGAAGGTAGTGAGAAGGCATTGAGAGCCCCCCACGCACCAAATTCAGACACTAAGGTTGGCAGGCAAAATTGAGGCCAGCTGTGGTTCAAGACCTCAGACCTAGGCAGCTCAGGAGAGCTCAGGACTTGTTTTTTGCCTTGAGGTACTAGGTATTGTACCTGTGGCCTCGCATATGCTAAACCACACTCTACTACTGCACTACATCCCCAATCCTTTGTTCATGAATTTACTAAAAAGGAGTTGTGATGGTGGAAGAATTTTTTCTAAATTATCAATAATATTTTTTAAGCTAAAATGCTAGAGGAAAATGTAACTGTGGTCCATTTTATGCTTTAAGTATAGCCCTTGCTGCTCGGTCAAGGTAATTTATTTTTAAGATGGACATGTTTCTCTTCCTCTCTCTTCCCCTTCCCTAATTTCTCCCTTCTCCTCCGTAATCTTAGGAGAAACAGGATTACCTTTCTTCCCCATTCTAGGCAGCGTTATCTGTTCTTGAGCGCACAGATTTACGGACAGTATTAGAATATCTAAAAAATGACCATCTTTATCCCCAGCCCTGAAAAAAATAATAGTTAACATGGCCAAACTGAGGTTCTGATTTTTTGCTCCTCCCTCAGTTTTCCAGTTAATGAAAACTTCATTTTTTCAGCTGCTCAGACCAAAACCTTCACAGCCATCCTCCACCTGCTTCCTTTCTCATAACCCACACTCAAGTGCATCTGCAAATCTTGTTGGTTCCATCTCCAAAATAGTTGCAGACTTTCAGTCTTACCACCTTGTCTCTATCATTCTTGTCTGAGCCCCATCATCTCACCTCTATTAACAAACAGCTCCTCACACTTCCTGCTCCCAATTCTCAACCCATATTTGTACAATTGAATTTGAGTTGACATTTATGAAAGAAAAGTGGCACAGGACTGATCACACACACTAACACCTGAGATAAGAAGCGGGTTTATTGTCAGGAGCCTGACAAGTCTGTTCAGCACGAAGCGGAACAGCAGCATCAAGTGATAGAGAGCCGCAGCAACTCCCCCATGAATGTTAGCTTCCACTGGCTAGAATCATGGCTGTGGCACAATAAGCATCCCCTGATCTTGTGGAAGGCAAGTTTGTTTCTTAGGAACTGAGATGGGCAGTTTTCTATCTCTCAGAAGAGGGAACAAGGAAACAGACATGTCCCTTTATCTTCTCAAGGAGAGAACAGGGAAACCCATATGTCCCCATCTCAGGGGCTGGTAAGTTGTCTCCTCTCTCCCAATGAGAGAACAGGGAGAGAACTGCATGGCACGTCTCCAGGCCAGTAGGTTTTATCTCAGGCTAGTTTCTATTTCTTGAGAATAAGAACTGTATTCATAAGTGGGGGTGGAGGAAAGGAAGATGGTTGCAATTATGCTAACAATTTAGTCCATTGAATGGCAGCACATTAAGCCAGCTTGGCTTAGAAATGCGACTTTGACACAAAAGCAGACCAGATGGAACCCCATTACAGACCATGAAATGTCTGATCACAGGGTGTTCGATTTTGCAAGGTTCCCGTGTTAATGGGAAACCAGGACTTCAAAAGGGTGGAAACTGAGCAGACGAAAGCTCCTGGAATAGAGGATTTAGCAGCTGAAATGCTGCTTGGTTTCTCTTGATCTTCTTTTGCCTGGGGTTTGAGGCAGGAAATTGTCTGACTTGGGAAAGTCAGGCATATTTCACAGTCTGCCTGGATTCATTTCAAGCTCCATTTCCTATATGCATGAGATCAAAGTCTCCAACATACTGCTCTCTTAAATGAAAAGCCTGCTGTAAACCTGACTTCCAAACAATCCAAGCAAGATCTTTCTCAAAATAAAATTTAAGGACTGGGGATGCAGCTCAGTGGCAGAGCACTTGCCTAGCATGTGTGAGGCACTGGCTTCTATCCTTAGCATCACATAAAAATAAACAAAATAAAGGCATGCTGTCCATCTACAAATAAAATAAAAAAAACTTTAAAATAAATAAAAATAAAATTTATAAAAGGGTTAGGGGTAACTGGGCATGGTGGCACATGACTGTGATTTCCATACAGGAGGCTGAGGCAGGAGGATCACAAGTTTATGGCTAGTCTCAGCAACTCAGTAAGGCCATAAGTAACTTAGCAAGACCCTATCTCAAAATAAACAAATAAATAAATGGCAGGGCATGGTGGTGCATACCTGTAATCCCAGGAGTTTGGGAACTGAGGCAGAAGGATCAAGAGTTCAAAGTCAGCCTCAGCACTTCTTCGAGGCACTGAGAAACTCAGCAAGACCCTGACTCTAAATAAATAGAAAAAAGGGCTGGGGATGTGGCTGAGTGGTCAAGAGCCCCTAGGTTCAATCCCCATTATCAAAAAACAAAATAAGGTAGGAATGTAGCTCAGTGATAAGAACACTGGATTCAAGCTTCAGTACCCCCCACTGCACAGTGAAGTCAGGAAATAACAGTAGTTTACCTGTTTGTTTCACTTTTCTGAGCATCATCTCACAAACTCCCACCCACCAACTTTATTGCAGTTTTATGTTACAAATCAGAACTAGAAGCATTCTCAGGGATCATCTGCTATATGAATCATAGGGCAAAATCTCCTTTTTCGGGGGTGCCAGGCATTGAACCCAGGGGCACTTAACCACTGAGCCACTTCACCAGCCCGTTGCTTAGGGCCTAATTGCCAAGGCTGTTCTCAAAATTGTGGTCCTCCTGCCTCAGCCTTCCAAGTTGTTGGGATTACAGGCGTGCACCACCACACCTGGCTCATAGAACAAAGTCGAAACTGAAGCCCACTAGGTGTTAAAAGGGGCTGTATGATGGCAGACCGTTTCCTGACTGCAACTCTGTGTGGAGAGGTACACTGGGGCTTGAACCCAGTGCTCTATCACTGAGATACACTCCGAACCTTTTTTAAATTTTGAGACAGGGTATTGCTTAGACTGCCTAGAAGCCAAGTTCACAGGAGGCTTTTCATTTAAGAAAGTAGTATAGCCAGATGTGGTGGCACACATGTGTAATTCCAACAATTTATAAAGCTGAGGCAAGAGGATCACAAGTTTGAAGGCAGCTTCAGCGTTTAGTGAAGCCATGAGCAACTTAGTGAGACCTTATCTCAAAATAAAAAAATTTTAAAAAGGCTGGGGATGTTGCTCATGGTAGGTTCAGCACTGGTAGGTTCAATGCTTACCCCCGCCAAAAAAAAAAAAAAAAGTAGCATCCTAGAGAAGACTATGGCGTCTTGACGGGTCTAGGTTCAACTCTCAGTTCTTCAACTTTCTAACTCTATCCTGAGAATTCACACAGCATCTTAGAGTCACAATTTCCTGATCTGCAAAGTGGTTGTAATAATATCTACCTGGGGCTGAAGATAGAGCTCAGTGTTTTCCTAGCATACATGAAGCCCAGGGTTCAATCCCCAGCACAGAATGAACAAAAGAAAAAAAAAATCTACCTGTTAAATCCCTAGAGATGGGAACTAAATGATATAATGGGTGTTAAGTACTTAATTGATGGTACATTTTCAACAATGTTTGTTTCTCTGTTTCCTTCTAGCTACAAGTGGAGTTGGCATATGTCTTAATAATATGAGTCAGAAGGGGAAGGTTCAAATGAACACAGCATTTTTTCCCCCATCTGGATAACGATAATTCTCACAATGGTGTTCTGTAGGCACCACAAAATCTGGAAATGATTCTCCAATCGTCAAAGAAAGATTGCATTTTAACTGTGTGGAATGAAACGGTTTATATTTGGGAAGAAATTTTGCCTCTACACAGTCCTCCTCACTTGAGAACTGGGCCACCATGAACGAGTCCCTTATCTCTGTTTTCAGCTCCTCATCTACTAAACAGGAATGGTATTGTTTGCTTACTTATAGAACTGTTTGTGGGGTACAGGTTGTGAGACATCTTACAAATAAGTGCACCCGGGAGATGCGAGATGTAGTTAAATGCATCCTTAACTGCTTTGCAGAACTTGTTTCCAGGACTCTGACTTCTCCCCCCGGTGGACTGTGAGCATCACGGGGGCACGGGTCTGATCTGTGTCCAAGACCTGGCGTGGAAAAACACCTGCTCAGTGACTCTCTTGGACGGAGGTGCTACTCTGATGTAAGGCCGCTGGATTGTAATTCCAACCCTGCGATCAACCCTGGGGTGACCAAACGAATCCCGGCGGAAGGAAATCTAATATATATAGAAGCTATTACTCCGTAGTTCGTGCTAATATCTCCAAATTTTAAACATTTTTACTTTTTTCACTTATTGAGACACGGTTTCGTTAAATTGCCAGGTTGGCCTCGAACTTGGCGACCTTCCTGCCTCAGTCTCCCCGGTAGCTGGGGCTTGTGCCACAGCGCATGGCAAACTTGAATGTTTTCCTTTTTCTACTTATATTTTCTGGGAAGTTCTTTTTTCCTCTCGTTTAAACACGCCTAAAGCTACACGCAGTGTGGCTTCTTGACTTTCCTTCGTGATTGGCTGCAGATCACCTTTCCGTGATTGGCTACGACATCTGCCGGTTTCTTTTCCATGATACGACAGGGGAAAAAAAAAAAAAAGAGGGTCTTAAAAACCTCGCCACTTTATTGGCTCGGGTAGGTACAGCCGGCGGGGGCCCTAGGCTTTCAAATTTATGATTGGTTCTTATATCCGCCAGTCATGTTGCTGGAAATCCCGTCCAATTATCTTGTTCGTACTATGCCCTCTCTGCCCGATTGGCTGGGAGGTGCAGGTTGGAAGGATCCTCATTGGTCCAAGAGCTCCAGCTTGTGAACCCTCCCCTCGCCCGGTTGCCGTGGTTGCAGGCCCGGCCCGCCTGCTCGCTCGCTGACAGCGAGACTTAGGGCGGAGGGAACTGGGTCCGTTGGTCGGTCGGGAACGAGGCTCCAGCGGCCAGGCCGGTGCGGAGCCGTTACCATGGCAGCCGCCGCCGGGGGCGCGGACGACGGTCCGCGCTCGGGCCGCTCGAGCTCGGATGGCGAGTGCGCCGTGGCGCCGGAGCCGCTGACGGAAGCCGAGGGCCTCTTCTCCTTCGCCGACTTCGGGTCTGCACTGGGCGGCGGCGCGGGCCTCCCTGGCCTCCCGGGCCGGGCGTCCGACGGGGCCCAGTCCCCGCTGCGCTACCTCCACGTCCTGTGGCAGCAGGACGCGGAGCCACGCGATGAGCTGCGCTGCAAGATCCCCGCCGGCCGGCTCAGGCGCGCCGCCAGGCCCCACCGCCGGCTCGGGCCCACCGGCAAGGAGGTGCACGGTGAGCGGCGCGAGCGGCCGGCTCTGCCCAGCCGCTCGTCGCGGGGGACCTGGCGCGAGTTACTGGCCCCTTAGAACCGACCTCCGACTCCCCCTTTCCGGCAGCTTGGAGTCCTCCGACGGCTGGCTTAGAGCCCAGGGTGACCCTTCGGTCTCCTTTCAGTGATAACAATTAGTATAGCTGCTAAGGACTTTTTCTAAAGAAAGTCTTCCTGCTCGGAACCGGTCTCTCCAGACTCCCCGCACTTTATAATTCTTGAGAAGAGATTTTCCACGACTGCGGGTTTTATTAGTAGATAATAATACGGGATTCTGAGAATACTTTCATCATCAGAGAGAGGGGAGGCTAGAGCCTATAGCTAGGTTGTACCTGCTTGCTTAAGTGCACAGACTCCTCTACCACACTCAGCCTTTTGGGGAAACTACAGGCCTTTCCAGCCTCGGTTTTCCATGTGTAAAATGGGTATAATACCTGCTTTACAGGAATGTTGCAAGAGCCAAGTAAGGTACGGAATGTCTTGAGGCAGGCTGTCTACCACTGAGTACATCCTGGCTCCTAAATCCTATATTTTGTGTGTGTGTGTTTGGTGCTGGGGATTGAACGCAGGGCCTTGTGCATGTGAGGCAAGCACTCTACCAACTGAGCTATATCCCCAGCCCTAAATCCTCTGACCATTTGACTTTCTTATCTTCGTAATGAGATGTATTAGATCAGATATACCCTCTTGACTGATTCTTTGTAATCCTCACTAGAACTCTTTGAGAAACAGAAATTGTGACCATTTTAGTGATGAGGATCAGAGAAATTGTCTTCCTCCAGGTCACGTAGAAAGTGCATGTGCTGATATTAGAACCCAGGTCAATCACACTGAAAACTCCCGCTCTCAGATGTCTACCATATTGTCTTCTACCTTTTATGAATGACACTGAAACCAGGTCCTGAGATAGTAATAATATCGATATTTAGGATCTCCTCAAACAAACTATGATTAACCCATTTGTTGGTGTTGTGAAAATTAAAGTGCGGGACATGGTGGTGCACACCTGTAATCCCAGTGACATGGAGTCTGAGGCAAGAGAATTGCAAGTTCGAGGCCGGCCTTAGCAACTTAGCCAGGCCCTAACCAACCCAGTGAGACCCTGTCTTAAAATAAAAAAATAGGGGCTGGGGTTGTGGCTCAGTGGTAGAGTGCTGGCCTAGCACGTGCAAGGCCCTGGGTTTGATCCTCAGCACCACATAAAATAAAATGAAGATTATCGTGTCCAACTACAACTAAAAAATAAATATTGTAAAAATAAAATAAAATAAAAATAAAAAATAAAAGGGGGCTGGGAATGTGGCCCAGTGGTTAAGTGCTTCTAGGTTCCATCCCTGGTACCAAAAAAAAAAAAAGGAGCTATATATATTATGAGGTACTACATGGATGTAAGGATTTGTTATATCTGAGTTGCAATTTTTCGATCATTTCTCTGATGATGAAGGCATTGATTTCTATTAGCTCTAATATAGAAGTAGTATCATTAAAGGGGAGTATGTTTCCATTTGGAATTACCAAATTTAGGTAAGTCATTGGGAATGACCTGTTTGGGGAGGGGAATAGAAGATGATTGGTATAGTCAGTTCCCAAGAACTTCCATGTAAATCACCTCATTTTGCATTTGCAGCCATTTTGAGCTGGCAGGGCAACTCACCCTTGTTTTTCAGATGATAGAATGAGGAAAGGCCGTGGGGTGTTAACCAGCTCACTCAAGGTCAAACCCAAAAGTCAGAATTGCTACACAAAGTGGCCTTTGCTGTGGCTGAGGTGCGGTTCAAGTTTCTCCTTGTTCCCCGTGTGGTGTTGTGTACCCTGGCACCTTTACTTCCTTTTTTTTTTTTTTTTTTTTTTTCTTTTTGTTACTAGAGATTGAACTCAGGGGCCCTTAACCACTGGGCCACACACCCAGCCTTTTTTATATTTTATTTAGAGACAGGGTCTTTCTGAGTTACTTAGGGTTTCACTAAATTGCTGAGGCTGGCTTTGAACTCGAGATCCTCCTGCCTTAGCCTCCTGAGCTTCTGGAATTACAGGCATGCGCCACTGCACCTGGCTGTTTCCTTTAGATACTGTGGTGGTTAAAGGGTGAATTGAGGAGGAATAGAACTAGTAAGGCCTCCTTGTAAGTCATGACTTTTTTTTTTAATGGGCATTTCTTATTCTCGTCACAGCTTTGAAGAGACTGAGGGACTCTGCCAATGCCAACGATGTGGAAACAGGTGAGTGTGTGCTGTGGGTCCAGCTCCAGGGACCTGTGGGCTGCTGGGGAGGGGAAGGGCCAGGAATCAAAACCTGGGAAGACGCCGCCAGTTGGCCTGTTATTCGTTCTCTGGCTTTGTAGTCATTTTGAAGAAAGTAAGACAGCTTAAGTACTCACTCCCCTTGCTCCTTGTCACCTGGAACCGCCTGATCATGGCATCTTGGACCTGTGGGTCCCCTGTTGCTGGGGACCACGTCTGCTTTTGCACCCAGCACAACTCTCAGCAAGAGCTTTTGAACTTCAGGCTAATAGGAGTGAACTTACCTGCCAGGTGCCATCTGCCACCTCCAGCTGCTCCATGAGACTGTGGTCCTCAGATCAACTTGTGTGGTTGACAAGGCGTGGGCAGGGCCCTCACAGGACTCAGGGGACTGCTCTCCTGCATTCACTAGGTGGTGGCGGCAGCAGCAGCAGCGTGTAAGGCATCTAGACAGCTTCTAGGACAGAAGAAGTTAACTGTGTCCACTGGCTTAATTCTCCCTGTGAGTCAGGGGAAAGTGGTGCATTAGTTTTCTATCTGCTTTAACAGAGTACCCAAATGTAGTGGCTTAAGCCACATGAATGTATTTTCATGTAACTCCATAGGTCAGCAGTCCAACAGGGTCTCACTGACCAGGCTAAAATCTGGTGCCAGCTGGGTTGCATCTCTTTCCAGAGGTTCTGGGGAAAACGTGTTTCGCTGACTTTTCCAGCTCCTGGGGGCCCCTACGGTCCTTGCTTTGAAGTCTCTTCTACTGTCTCCAACTCCAGCTAAGAAGAGTCCTTCTAACCCTGCAGGTTCTCTGATGCTTGAAGCAGGGGAAGATTCTGATTTTAAGGACTCACAGGTGATTAGATTAGACCTGGATAATCCAAGATAATCCCTGCATCTCAAGGTCCTCAGCCTTGGTCAAATATGCAAAGTCCTTTTGGACACCTAACATCTACAAATTCTAAGAATTAGAGTGGGGCATCTTGGGGGACCATTATTCTGCACATCATTCTGCTTTGGTGGTAGGATGCTGTGGTCAGCAGCTCAACTGTGAGCACCGATGACGAACTGTGGGTCACAGGCGCCCACTCGCAGCAGGGGTGAGGGCAGGTGTTGCCCGATGGGCTTCAGACTCTCCCCCTGCTTCTGGCACAGCAGTGGTCCGCAGGTCTAGCAACTGGAGGGGTTTCAACTCTCTTCACTTTGGTCTTTTTTCCATGAACTTTAATATTTTGGAATATTCAAGCAGCAACCTAAGATAGTTCCTCAATGAAAAACAGTAACCATTGTGTTTTTAATATCTCCAGTGTATGACCAGAGAATGTTTAATAACACTCACCTCCCACAGAAAGTTCAGTCTATCTTAAATCAGGTGGTTTTAGTACTTTGATAGAAATTCTGTAATTTTCCATTCAGAGCCTGTTAGATTTACCTGAAGGACTCAATGGTGTTTTTCACCATTACTTTTTTTTTTTGGTACCAGGGATTAAACCCAGGGGCACTCAACCACTGAGCCACATCCCCAGCCCCCACCCTTCTTTTTAGTTGTAGACAGACACAATACCACAATACCTTTATTTTATTTATTTATTTTTATGTGGTGCTGAGGATTGAATCCAGCGCCTCACACGTGCTAGGCAAACGCTCCACCACTGAGCTACAATCCCAGCCCCTTTTTTTTTTTTTTTCAATATCGTATTTAGAGACAGGGTCTTGCTAAGTTGCTTAGGGCCTTGCTAAATTGCTGAGACTGGATTTGAACTTGTGACTCTCCTGCCTCAGCCTCTGGCCTGGGATTACCGTTTGCACCACTGCGCCTGGCTCACCATCATTTTCATGGCATTTATGGTGAGCATTTCTGTTCGTTCTGAACATGTTGGGTTTTATAAAATTTAACAATTATAATGAACATACAGTTTATATCCTGTTGTTATTGTCAAGTCATGAATGATTTTCTATGAGTTCCTGATCACTTAAAGTATGTTGAGGATGAAAATAACAGCTGCACTTAAAATGTTTCGGAAGTTATAAAAACATACAAGAAAAATATCCATACTGTTAGCAATGGATCTGATTGCTGTTCACTTTTTTTATAATTTTTCTTTTTTCATATATATATTTTGTTAGTTGTAGATGGACACACAATATCTTTATTTATTTTTATGTGGTGCTGAGGATCAAACCCAGTGCCTCACACACATGCAAGGCAGATGCTTTACATAAGCTATAGCCCCAGCCCTGCTGTTCATTTTTTTTTAATATCTTTATTTTGCTTATTTATTTTTATGTGGTGCTGAGGATCGAACCCAGGGTCTCACACGTGCGAGGTGAGTGCTCTACTGCAGAGCCACAACCCCAGCAGTGCGTGCACGTGCATACACACACACACACACACACACACACACCCTGTTCATTTTTTATGGTGGCCAGGATTGTGGCTCAGGTAGAGCGCTTGCCTAGCACATGTGAGGCACTGGGTTCAATCCTCAGCACAACATAAAAATAAATAATAAAATACAGGTATTGTGTCCAACTACAACTAAAAAAATAAATAATAAATAAAAATATTTTGTTGGTATCTGTCCAGTCCCTTTTCCTGTGCATAGAAATTTTCTTTTTAGGGGCTGGGGATGTGGCTCGAGTGGTAGTATGCCCGCCTGGCATGCGCAAGGCACTGGGTTCAATCCTCAACACCACATAAAAATAAAATAAAGATATTGTGTCCACCTAAAACTAAAAAAAAAAAAAAAATTTCTTTACGGGTTTAAAACGGCTATGTACACTTTTTTGTAGCCCACGTAATATTTTGTGTATTATAAACATAGTCTGTGTAACCATTTGTTTTATCAAAATGCAAATATCTCACCAGGTGTAGTCGCACACACCTGTAATCCCAGTACTTAGGAGGCTGAGGCAAGAGGGCTGCAAGTTCAGGGCCAGCCTCAGATATTTTAGCAAGGCCCTAAGCACTGTCTGGAGGGACCCCAGCGCTGCTGTCCCCCCGCTGGAGACTGAAGTTCAGCTAACACTGCTGCTGTCCCCTTCCTCCCCACCCTGGTGGTGTCAGTGCAGCAGCTGCTGGAAGATGGCACCGATCCCTGTGCAGCTGACGACAAGGGCCGCACGGCTCTCCACTTTGCCTCCTGTAACGGCAACGACCAGATTGGTGAGTCCTGGGAGGGCCTGGGACTGGGCAGTGGGGGGAGCTGCCGCCTGCACAGCGGGGCTACAGGGAGAACCGGACAGGAAGGAACCTGGCACCACAGCCCCCTGCCCCTTCACCTGTGGAACCAGCACTGCCAGATGGGGAAGGACTATGAGTGACTGAGGGAGGAGTCCGCTGGCGGGGACAGAGCCCTAGACAACTGGCAGCTTTCCTCAGGGAGGTAGCAGGACGGCTGTTTTTGGTTTTAAATGTGGCGCAGCTTCAGACAATGAACCGTGCCGTGTCCACCCCTGTCCAGTCATCAGCTGTCTCAGCTCCTGGCAGCCCCACACCCTGTCTAGATCCCACCAGGCTCTCACCCTGTCTAGACCCGTTCCCTGCCGTCTGGGCTGGGCTGCTTTTGAATTTCACATGAACAGAAGCACACAGCAGGGCCCTCCTCTGGACACACCCTCAATCAAAGTTACATGGGGCGGTTCATCCAGGCACAAATGTTGTGCGGGTCAGTAACTTGTCCTTTCTTGTTCTGGTTACTACCTGGCTGTGTGCTCTTCCCCAGTTCACCTGTCTGTTGATGGACATGTGCATGGTTCCCAGGTCTGGGCTAGAGAATAAAGCTGCCGCAGACATTCTCGGACTTGCATTCGCTGCTTGACTCTGCGGGGTGCAAGCCCTGGAGAGGGAGTGGAAGCACCAGGGTGGACGTACCAAACTCTTCCCTAAAGTGGACGTCCCAGCCCCCCTTCCCCTCCTGCCAGCAGTGTCCCACATTGTCTCCCTCCCTCCCCATGCTTACTGCCAGTTCTTTTTAAATTTTAACAGCTCACAGTGGTTTAATTTGCATTTCCCTGCTGACCAGTGATATCGAGCACCTCCTTATGTATCTACTGGCCATTTGTAGGTCCTCTCATGTGAAGCATCTGTTCAAGTATTTTTGTCTATTTTCTAAACAAGTTTAGACATTTTTTTTTAAAGAGAGAGACAGAATATTTTAATATTTATTTTTTAGTTATCGGCAGACACAACATCTTTGTTTGTATGTGGTGCTGAGGATCGAACCCGGGCTGCACACATGCCAGGCGAGCGCGCTACCTCTTGAGCCACATCCCCGGCCCCAAGTTTAGACATTTTTATATGAAATTTTATTCTCGGCATTTTAAAAAAATGATTATAATTTTATTTTTAAAATTTTAGGCATTCTTTATATATTCTAGGTATGTATCCACTATTAGTGCCCTTCTCTCTGAGTTTACCTTTCCCTTCTATGAGTGGTATCTTTTTTGGGGGGATGGGTAGATATTAGGATTGAACCCAGGTGCTTTATCACCAATTTATATCCCTAGCACTTTTTACTGTTTATTTTGAGATAGGGTCTCCCTAAGTTGGAGAGGCTAGCCTTGAACTTGTGATCCTCCTGCCTCAGCCTCCCAAGTTTCTAGGAACACAAGCATGCACATAGCACATACCACTACCTACAGAGCTATATCCCCAGCCATGAGTGGTATCTTTTTTTTTTTAATATTTTATTTTATTTTATTAGTTTTTGGCGGACACAACATCTTTGTTTGTATGTGGTGCTGAGGATAGAACCTGGGCCGCACGCATGCCAGGCGAGCACGCTACCTCTTGAGCCACATCCCCAGCCCTGAGTGGTATCTTTTAATGAACACAAGTTCTTAATTTTAACGAATCTAGTTGATCAATCTTTTGTTTTTTTTATGTTTAGTATTTTTGTGATTTTTACAAAATCTTAGCCTATCCCAGGGTCATGAAGATATTCCCTGGTTTTCTTCTAGAAGCCAGGCTATTCCACCTCTCACAGTTAGGTCTGTGGTACCTCTGGAATTAGTTTTTGTGTATGGTGTGAGGCTCAGTCCAGTGCTCCCACACAATGTCCTGGACCCAGTTGACCTTCCTGAGTATCCAGTAGGGTAACTGGCAAACCCTGGCAATACCACAGGCACCCCTGAGGTGACCCAAGACTGTCAAGAGGGGATGTCATTTACTGAGTTCAGCATCCTCAGTTGGCCTATTTCTCACTGTGGCACTTGGTCAAGGGAAGAGAAGAAAATGATGTGGGCAGCCTTCTCTAGTAACTTCCTGACCCCTAAAAATAGCCCCCTTGCGGGGTTGGGGATGTGGCTCAAGCAGTAGAGTGCTTGTCTGGCATGCGTGCGGCCCGGGTTCGATCCTCAGCACCACATACCAACAAAGTTGTTGTGTCTGCCGATAACTAAAAAAATAAATAAATATTAAAAAAAAAAAAAAATAGCCCCCTTGCACCTGTGTGTGCTAAGGGGCCCTCCTGGGATCTTGAGTTCCTGGATCTGAGGGTCCTGCACGTGAACCCCATTGAGTGGTGATAAAATGAATGAATGAAACAACATAGGGAACCGGGTTTACAAATTCAGCATCCCGCACTGAGCGAGACTCAGCCAGCTGAGGGGACTGGTCAGGGGCGGAGAAGCTGCTGACAGCTCCCTGGGTTTTCCTGTTTCTAGTGCAGCTGCTCCTGGACCACGGGGCCGACCCCAACCAGCGAGACGGGCTGGGAAACACGCCGCTGCACCTGGGTAAGTCCTCAAGTGTCTTCAAGACACCTGTATTAAAATACATCCTACTGTCACGTGTAACTAAGAAGAAGAACAATAAAGACCCTGTGTAGCACAGACATGCTCCTGAGATGGAGGGTCTGGGGTCCTGCTGGCTCCCAGCATCAGGGGACAACCTGAGCGTCCAGGCTCCACTTCCCAGCAGCCTGTCTTCCGTAGACCATCTAGTCCCTCTGCAGTTGGCGGTGCCCTTGGCAGAGCCCATGTAGCAGCCTTGACCTGCCAGCAGCACCTGTGGGAGTGTCGGGAGGCCTTGGCCTCGCTCTGGCCTTGCTGCTGACTTGTGGCTTGTGAGGCCTCAGTTTCCCCAGCCGCACAGGGAGGGAGGTGGGCTGGATTGCCGAGTGCTGCCCGTCGGCTGCCCTGGGGACACCTCGTGGGAGCTACAGCTTGGCACAGGCTCACTTGGAGCCACAGCCCTGACCCCTGCACTCAGTGCTCCCGCTCTGACGTCTCTGTTCCTCCTCAGCGGCCTGCACCAACCATGTCCCTGTCATCACCACACTGCTACGAGGAGGTATGTGGTCCCCTCTCCTGCCCCTCCTCCCTCACCCTCACCCCCAGTGTGCTCACCTCTGCCTCTCCCCCCAGGAGCCCGTGTGGATGCCCTGGACCGAGCTGGCCGCACACCCCTGCACCTGGCCAAGTCGAAGCTGAACATCCTACAGGAGGGCCATTCCCAGTGCCTGGAGGCTGTGCGGCTGGAGGTGAAGCAGGTGAGCCTGGCCTCCTGTGCCGAGTCCAAGGCCCTGCGCAAGCCCTGTGCAAGGCCTTGCTCGCCACAGACACCCTGCCTCTGGCCTCCGGGCCCCTGATCATCTCGAGTTAGCCCCAGAAGGCTCCTGCTCTGCTGTGCCTTTGGCAGCAGAACCCAGGTCGGGGGTGCCAGGTGGCTCAGCCGGCCCCCCTCTTCCAGATCATCCACATGCTGAGGGAGTACCTGGAGCGCCTGGGGCGGCACGAACAGCGGGAGCGGCTGGACGACCTCTGCACCCGCCTCCAGATGACGAGCACCAAAGAGCAGGTGAGCACCCTTAGCGGTCCAGCCGGGTGTGACAGCCTTGACGCCAGTCCAGCCCTAGTCCAGCCCTGCGCCAAGGCCGCCAGACCCTCGTATCAGAGAGAGGCTGTGCCTGTGGTCGGTCACAGCCTACCATGCCCCTCCCAGCCTCATCCCCTTCCTTTGAAGGTGCAATGGCTGGGATGTGTTCCCCAGCCATGCTCTTGGTGGCAGCCTGAGGCCACCTAGTGTCAAGGATCAAGCCCTTGGTAAATTATTCCATAGTCAAGAGAAGCCTCCAGGTGCCCTGGGAGGAAAGGCATGCCCGGGGCGGAGCCTGTGGTACGGGGAGGCCAGGGAGCCTGGCACCTGGACCAGAGCCTGGGTCTCCTTCTACAGGTGGATGAAGTGACCGACCTCCTGGCCAGCTTCACCTCCCTCAGTTTGCAGATGCAGAACATGGAGAGGAGGTAGCGAGGGAGGCCCCCGCTTCCTGCTCTGCCACTGCCCCCCGCCCCTCTGATCTCTCATTACAAAGAAAAGCTGGGTTTCAGGGACTTTGAGCTACACTTCTCTGGTGAGGACCCTGCCCTCGCCCTCAGAGGCCAGGGGCAGAAATGTTCTCCCCACCACCTCAGAACTGCTCCCAACCATAGTCTCTGTCCCATCTCTGCGGGCCGGGACCACAGCCCCTAGCTGCTGCTCCAGCTCCCACAGCACCAGCCAGCTCTGCAGCCACACGCACACGCTGGCCCTTCGTGCTGTCCTGCTGGGCCTCACGCATCCCAGGGCCTCCCGGGGCCCTGTCCGGCCCCGGCGCCGAGCCTTCTCTATGCACCTTCCCAGCCTCGGGCTTGTTGCCGTTAGCTGACTTGGGGCAGGCACCCTCAGGCACCCCCTGCCAGCAGGCTCCATGGGGGCCCTTGTCTGTCCCCGTACCTTTTTCTGGTGCTTAGGTTTAGGCTCATCCCAACTTTCAAGGAGACAGTGCAGGGAGTTCTCTGGTTGGAACAGAGGGTTGGTGACATCCAACAAGGTTAGGAAGGACCCTGCCGAACCCAGAGCAAAAAATCTCCACTCCTTGCCCTCTCGGTCACTGAAACACCAGGAAGGTAAGACGGCTCTGCAGCCTGGTTGTCCTAAGCTGATGGTAACCCAAGGTGCCCAGGCCTCAGGTCAGGAGCCTGCAGACAGGTTTCGTGGGTGCAATGAAGTCCAGGGTCTTTACCGAGAGCAGTGATCCCAGACCACCCAGGTGGGCCGGGTACCATCACAGAGACCCTTGGAAGAGGGAAGCAGGAGGTGAGAGCAAGTGGGTGTGCTGACGGAAGCAGGACATTGAAGAGGGAAGGAGTCGAGAAGGAGTCACAAGCCAAGGAATGCAGGCCACCTCCAGAAGCCATGGACTGTCCCCCAGACTTCCAGAAGGATGGCGCTGCTGACACCTGGACTTTAATTCAGTGAGACTGATTTTAGATTCCAGCCTCCAGAACTATAAGAGAATAAATTTGCATTCTTTGCTTAGTGTGTGTGACTTGCTGCGGGGTCCCGGCACACCAGTGCTGTAGGCTGTAGCTGAGGCTCGGCAAACCCCAGAGGCCTTCATCCTCCAGGCCCCACCCCACTGTGGACAGGCGCAGGCAGGGCCCCTCAAGGCAGGGATCTGCTGTAAGGAAACCAAAGCCCCCTTGGCCTGCCCCCTCCAAGGAGGCATTTGGCCACAACTTCAGATGATCAGGCCACAGCTCGTCTGGCCTGCCCACTTGCCCTCTTGCCAGATTAGAAGCCCTGACGACTTTCAGAGGCCCCAGCTTGGTGTGCTTCAGGTCTGAATTGAACTCTAGGACTCAGCTGCTCCTCAGACCCTGGAGAAAAGGGGTGTGAGGTACTGGCCAAGCCCAGGGTTGCCCCCAGCAAGCTGTGGGACGAGAAGCCAAAGCCCGTGTTGGCAAGGCCAGGGAGTCGGGGTGCTGCGGTCCCCAGGAGGGGAGGCGGGGGGGAGGGGGAACACTAGGTTTTCATGGATCTCAGGCTGCTGCAAGCACAGTGCGAATCCAGGGGTCAAGTCGTGGTGGGAGTGGCCTTTCTCCCTTCTACATTCAGGTGACACTCTGCAGTGAGCTTGCCTTTTTCCAGGGGCTCCCCTTGGACCTTGGCCATGGCTCAGGGTGGGCAGGGCAAGAGGGAGTGGACCTCGATCAGCGGGGCCCTTTCTTGGTCCCAGCTTCTCTAGGCCTCCTCCCCCCAGGCTGACCATTCCACAGAGTTGAAGCACAAAGGCCGCTGAACCTCAGGTGCAGGAGTTCAGTTAGGGGGCCCTTAGGAAGGCACGAGCCCTCCTGTAGGCTGGGCAGACAGGCCTGAGACCGGTGACACCACCTTGTACCTGCAGAGTCGCGTGTGCTAGGACCGCGAGACTGCCCCAGGAGACTGGGCACGTTCCCAGGACAGCCTGACTGACCCCTCACAGTCCTGGGCCCTGACAAGCCAGGCCCAGCAGGGACACCAGGGCAGACCTCCTGCTGCATCTTCCACCCGGAGCCCCAGGCGGCGGAGAGCCAAGGCAACACCTGTCATTGTCCCACCCCTTCCAGCCACAAGCCATGCAGACGGTGACAGAGGGCCTGATAAGTCAGTCATTAAACACTCACCAGCCAGCTGACCAGCCTTGCCAGAAATATCCCAGCCAGGATATTTCCGATAACTTCAAATCTGTCTGAAAAACCAGCCAGATGAAGTCGGCTCCAGACACTGGAGTGAGTCAGAAAACACCCAAGTGGTCCCGAGTGCTGGGCAGGGCGGGCAGGAGAGCACGCGGCGGGCAGGAGAGCATGCAGCCGGCGGAGGGTGTCCTCAGAGTTAGTTGGTTGCCAGCTCTGCAGCTGCTGCCCTCATGGCAGTGGGTGGAGCAGAAAGGAGCTCCGCAGGAGCTGAGCCCCCTCCGGTGAAGACTGCCTCACACGCCCTGGGTCACCCGGGTGAGCCCTGTGTCCTAGCTGGCCTTGCTCCAGGTGGCCTTGCTGCCGCTTAGAGGGAAGCAGGTTTGCCAGGGTCACCCCACCAGGTTGCTGGAGCTAGAACCTGATCCACCCCGAAGTCCCCACTGTTTCCACCATGTTGGCCTCTAGAGCCCTCTCACACGCAGGGGGACATTTGCTCACATGCAGGGTGACGTTTGTTGAGTTACTCTGCCCTTTATCCAAGCCCTTTGGTTTAATATTTGCAATAAGATGTTGTCACTATTTTATGTATCCTCCATCTTGGAAGAAAGAGAGAAGGGAACTGGCTTGAGGTCAGGCAGAGGTGCCTGGGCCGGGTTGAGCATTCCTTCTGCCAGGTTTCCAAATCCCAGGGTCCCCAGTGCTTCTGGGACATACTTGGTGGGGACTGTTGGACTGTGCTAAGTGAATCCCTGTCTCTGTGATCATTCAGTGTTCCCAGACAGGGAGGGTCTGACCCTTCCCTGAGCACATGACACCCCATACTCAGGGGACAAGGCAGGCACCTTGTCACCTAGGGAAAGAGGATGATATGAGGTGATGGAGCTGGGCTGGATCTGGAGTGGTCCCTGATGATCTTTGGTAGGTGGGAGAAGGGACAGTCTGAGCCAGGCCTAGGTACCCAGTAGGCTGAGAGGCTGGCTAGGTCCTGAGGTCTGAAGTTTCCCCACAGGCAAAAAGCAGATAAGGCAGGCTGTCACCTCCACCCTGGGGGCTAGATGCATCCTTACCCCAGAGCAGGTACCCAATGCTCCAGCTCTGGCTGTGACCTCAGTCTGGGGTAAAGCCCCCCTTGAGAAAGTCCTCCCCACCAGAACAGTCTGCTCCCCAGACTGCATCAGACATGGAGTCCACCCTGGGGTAAGGAGGCCGATGATGTCTGGGGTAATCCCAACAAAGTCCCTCACTAGGCCTGGGGTGCACACCTATAACCCCAGTGGCTCTGGAGGCTGGGGCAGGGGGATTGTGAGTTCAAAGCCAGCCTCAGTAACTTAGCAAGGCTGAGCAACTCAGGGAGACCCTGTCTCTAAACAAAATATTAAAAAGGGGCTGGGATGTGGCTCAGTGGTTTAAGTGCCCCTGGGTTCACATCCCAGTACCCCCCCCCCAAAAAAAAGTCCCTTGCTCTGGGTATTACAGCCCCTAGCTCCCATGCTAGCCCCGAAGCTCACACTGGACCTTGGGGCCTGCAAGAAGATGTGACCAGCTTCTGTAAGCAGAAAACAGGCCGGGCAGGTAGGTAAAGGGGGCTGGTAAAGGGGTCTTGCCTGGCACCCCAGATGAGGACTCCAGGACTCTCTTGTGCTGTGCCCACAGAGCAGTCACTCCGAACCATGTGAACTTGGCAAATTTCTGTGACTTTGGAAGCCCAGGAGGTTGGTCCATGTCACACAGGCATTTGGGGGTAGATCTGCCCAGTGGGCAGAGGCGATGGGTTGAATCTCCTCAGTTGGACTCAAGGGCCTCCATGGGATAAGGATGAACAGACAGGGAGCCCCCAGGTGAAGGATCCCCAGCGCCTCTGATAAGACTCTGCTTAGTCAGAGCTCAATTCTGCAGGTCACTGAGACCCAGGGAAGTCATAGCTAGAAAGTGCAGAAGCCAGGATCCCAACAGAGCATGGCTCCAAAGCCAGTGCTTCCCCCCCACGGTCCTGGCTCTGAGCTGGCCTCCCAGGCCCAGGTTCCCTGAGCCAGAGCTTCCCAGCATCACGACCACCAGAGGACCTCAGAGCACCCAGAGGCACTCCACCCTGGTGCTGGCTCCCTTTCTCCTGCTGCAGCCTCACCCCCCTACACAGGCCACTTAACTTGGTACCAAGCAAATGCCTCAGGCTGGGCATGTGGCCCTTGCCTGGAATCCCAGCTACTTGGGTGGCTGAGGCAGGAGAATCCCAAGTTCAAGGCTAAGTTGGCAACTTATGGAGACCCTGTTGCAAAATAAAATATAAAAGACCTGGGGATGTGGTCCCCTGCCTGTGCCTCAAGTGTCACCCAGGCATTTTGGACTCATCCTTGTTTCCTAAGAAGGGAACTGACCTTGAGGACTCCTGAACCAGGCTCCCAGTAGCCAGCAGCCCCCCACACACACACACCCATGGCCCTCCTTGCACCTCACCTGTGGCTGGAGGGGAGACCTGTGGGCCTGGGCTTCTCTGGAGGCCGAGAGCCCCTCCCCGTGGTGTCCCACTTCCTTCATGCCTCCAGGGAGCGGCTCTTCTGGGTTTTCATGGAGTTCTGTTCAGGACTTGCCCTTCCTTCACAGCTGATTTGAATGTAGTTTTCCATTTCTATTTATTTGCACAATTAAAATTAAAAATTAAATATTAGCTGGGTGCGTGGCACACACGGGCAATCTCAGTGGCTCAGGAGGCTGAGACAGAGGATCGTGAGTTGTTCAAAGACCAGCTTCAGCAACGGCGAGGCGCTAAGCAACTCAGTGAGACCCTGTCTCTAAGTAAAACACAAAACAGGGCTGGAGATGCGGCTCAGTGGTTGAGGGCCCCTGAGTTCAATATCCAGTGCCCAAAAAAAAGCTCAGCCCAACAGCTGGAGTCCTTAAACCAGAAACAGCTTCACCTGTGCTCCGCCTGCCCCCCACCCACACCATTCTGCATGCAGCCAGCGGCTCACAAATGAGGCCTTCATCAGGGCTGAGGCACTGCTGTTCATTAGTGGAGAACTTCAGGGTGGTTAATTGGTATTTGTTTCCCAGGTCCACGCCTCCAGGCTAATAAATGGCCCTGTTCCTGCCAGCCACAGCAGGGCTGCTTAACAAGGCTGTTCCAGGGCCCTCCCCTTACCTGCCCTGGCCAGGGTCAAGGGTAGCCCTGCCATGGTCGCTACACAGGGGCGGGGGGCTCTTCTGCCACTGCACCCCTTAAAGATCATCCCCCAAGTCAAACAAACCTAAGTTAAAACCCCAGCCCCACCATCCAGGCTCTTTCAGTCTCAGTTTCTCTGTCTTCAAATTCTAAGACAGATGAGACCCAAGTTCAGGGCTACACATAGGCCTCACACCTGGTAAGTATGCACACAGATACCCCTGGCA